TCAAAAAATCAATTTTCAAGATACAAGAAAAAGATTTATTATTACTAATATTCAGTATTAGCAAATTGGGACAATAGGTTAAAAGGTGATGTGGGAAAGCTTTGGAAAACTTCTAGAAATAAGTTGCTTTTAATTCAAGAAAAGCATTTGTAAAAGAAAGAGAAAAATAGTAACTGAGAAATTCAAACCTAATTGGCTTAATAAAAACAAAGAAAACAAATCAGAAATAAATAGCATAAATTTAAGAAGTTTAAATTGACAAATAATTTGGATGGAAAATTTACAAAACTATACAAAAGCTAGGGATATAGTTAAGAAAAATAATTAGGAAATTGAGAAAAGCTTCACAGTAATAAAGCTCATAGAATTTTAGGATGTATTTACAGGCATATTGATTACATGCCAAAAGAGGTAATTATCTTCTCTATAAAAATCATTAGTTAGACGTCACTTGGAATATTATGTAAACTTTTGGTCTTCTTGTATAAAAAAATAAAACTGACTTATTGGAAAAGATTCAGAGAAGGACCACAAGGATGATCCAGGGATGGAAGAGTTATCTCATAGGGATAGGTTAAGATCCCTTTTTCTAATGAGAAAAGTTAGAAGCAATTTAACTGATGTTACAAGATTATTCACAAAGGACTGTGATTTCTGATGAGAGGACAAGTTTAAAATTTTGACAAAACAGGCTAGGCTACCAATTAAGACACTTATATTCTCAACAGTATGATTAACTTATGTTGATAACAGGGGAGACCAGCACTTCACAGTAGTTTCAGAGGGAGAATCAATAACTTTCTGAAAAATAAAGCTTGGGATTTAACACAAGATAGACAATAGGAGACAATTTGGCCCTTAGAGATTGTCTTTTTACACACCCACCCTTTAGAGTAAAAGAAATTATCAAATTATCCTCTTAAATTCCTGTAAAGTGGTGGATACAACAGGAACTCATTCTATAAATTGACCACCCATTTCTTATCCACAATAAAAACTTTCCTCTTACACGAAACATGTTTCTTCAAAATTCCACATCCAAAGTATATTGTTTTTCAATATTAAAAGTCATTTTCCACACTTCTGTCTAATCACTAACACTTCCATATCTTTTTGAACAGAAGAAACTTAATAGTACTAATCTCTTCTATAATCTTAGCATCATATCCCTATTTAAAAACAGTACTGTTGAAGATACTGTACAGATTCCTGACAAACCTACTGGAAACACTGTATTAAGTCAGGAAATCCTTCATTAAGAACTATTATTTACATTTCACCAACAAACTAATTTTTATCCACTTCTTAAATTTTCCACCAACTTCATAGGTTTGTTTGTTTGTAATTAAGCACAAAGCTACACAATGGGCTATCTTTGCTCTGCCCACCATGGGTATCAAAACCCGGATTCTAGCATTGTAAGTCCGCAGACATACCGCTGTGCAACTGGGGGCAACTTCATAGGAACCAAACCTTCTTATGAAAGACTTTCTAAATATCAAATTACACAAAATCAAAGTACCTTTTTAATGAAAAGCAAAAACAGCTTATTAAAAAACAAAACACTAGATAAGAAAAGAAAAATGCCCAGTTCCCAAGTGCTTTTCAAACAATCTCTAAAAACAGATTAATTATGTAACATCTTGCTTAAAACAAAATTCAATCTAGTAGGCTTATCTATAATTTCTAAAGTTCTAACCTGGTTCTTTTCTTTTAAAACATAGATCACACTGGCAAACTTTCCAATCTTTGCTTTTTGCAATATTTCAGAATTTTCCAATAAAGCTTGACAAAGCCATCTGCATATAGCCATCCTTAATTTTGAATTGACAGACTAGTGGAAAGGCAGCTAGTTAACAGCATTCACTGTCACTCCTATAGCACAACCATTACTTTAAAGTGCAATGTGTGTATTTGTGCATGAACCTGCTGCAAACCCTGAACCCTGGGATTTACAGTCCAAACATACTAAGTTTTTAAGCCATGCCTGGTCCCACTTTGTAATCTTCAGAATGTTTTACAATGTTAAGAAACTTTTCAAAGTCACACCTAAAAGCTTCCACCAATACCTTACTGAGTTTATTGATGGTCTTAGAATAATTCTTATCAGGATCAGGAGTTTTATTCTTCCCAACCTCTTACAAAATTCAAATTTAATGAAAAATTATTCCAGTTTTAAAATAAGTCAATAGATATATATATTCTCCTTAATAAAAAAAACAACAAAAAAACATTAGTACCTCATCTAATTTCTTAAAAAAATAATTTAATCCTCAACTTTTTTGCAGTTCACTTAAGGATAAGTTAATGTTGATCATGTGAACAAAGAAACTTCTATGTTCCAGTAAAAACAAGTCCAATCATTTAAGCCCTTCTTCACAGCTGAAATATTCTAAAGAATACGAGATATTTAGTAACCCTTTTTTTTGTTCAATTTCTTGCATAATCAACATTGCTAATATACATAAAAACCAGTTGTCTTTTGGTAATGCTCCAATTATCTGTATCACTTATCAACAAAATTATGACCTGATATTGTTGCCTTAAGTATATATATATATATATATATATATACAATACTTTGAACATTCACAAAGGCTGGCTTGAATTTCACTTTTTAAAAAAAATTTACATCTTAGTTTATGCACACACTCAGCATGACAGACATTTCGAAGTTCTTGGCAAATTTTAAAACAGCTGAGTTACAAGTTAATGACTATAGTTCATATGTTTTTTATTAGATTTTTTTGGTAAGTTTTTATGTTTTATTATTACGTTTTTGAATAAAACAATTTTTTCTTTCTTTCTCCCAAACTTAACTAATGGTGGTATCTGAAATTAATTTTTAAGTCTCAAATTTGTGCTCGATTTTTTATCATAAACCTTAAGCTTATTGGCTTTAGGTGCTTAATCTTCTTACGGTGTTTAAACATTAATCTTTAGATTATATGATGTAACTAGAAAAAATAACTTTTGGTACTTACAAAATATTGGTGGATTTGTGAAATATTCTCATTACCACAAAACCACTTGAATAAGACAACTTCGTGAAATAGATAAATCGAATATACTTCAAAAATTCCTGCTGGGTCATTACTGATCAAGGTTTGGATGACAAGATAATGTTAACGAGACCTTGGACGGCCACTGCCTACAGTTCTTTATTGCTACCCCAGATAATTAGCAATAATTAAAATGCTGAGAAACTTTTCCAATTTCTTCCAGAATGCTTTTTAACATTAGAAATGACATGTATACACTTGATATAATAATAATGTGGAGAATAAACTAAACTGAAAATATGATTTTGACTATGGCTTTGGTATGATTTTCATAACTTTATATAAAAGTCAAACTATTCTTTTTCCAATGATTAAAATCTAATATATACAAAAGCCACTTGTCATTTTGTGTGTCATAAGTCATTTTTAATTCAGTTAATTTTAAAAAGTTTTGTAATTTTATTTTACTCTAATGCTATGATGTGTATTTTTTGTTTTATTTTTAAATGTTTTTGTAAAGGTATGTGGATATAAAAGGATAAACCTAACTTCGATCAAATTATTTCAATGGTATTTCTTTAAGGGTTTATTTTCTGGGTGAGGGGTGATCTCAATTGAGCAAATGGCCTCGCTTTTCCTTATATTCTTATCTTCCAATGGTGACAATTTAGGATTCGTAAATGTATTTACAAAGAAATGACAGACCAATAGTAAATGTTTTAAACTGATTATATGTAAAACCTAGCCAATAACTATTATAACAGCTCTTTTCAACAAAGTTAAACACAGGAGAGGGCTTTAGGATTAACAACAAAACACCTAAATCTTTCTCATGATACCAATGTTTCTGTCACATAAAATGTAAGCCCTTTCTAATTAAGTTATTTTCCATGTTCTGAGCAAATGCCTTTTTCGATAAATAAATCTTTCGAAAAAGAATCATTTACTTTCATCAGGAAATCTAAAAATACTATTGCCTAAAAAAACTGTTGAACAATTTATTAACATAAATAATAAAAAATAAAGATCCTAAAACAGACCCCTCCAAAAATACATTTACCCAGTCACCAAAATGCCAGTTTATCATTACTGCTTGTTTTATAATAATAAGCCAATTTTCAATCCACTTCTTGGCTTTTTCACCAATCTCACAAACACCTAACTTACAAATCAATTTCTTGCAAAGCATTTTATGAAAAGCTATCTGAAAGATAAAGCTATCAAATGAGATGCCCTCGTATGGAAGTTTTCTTCTTCCTTACAGTTCTTACAGGATCAATATTATATTTGACTTATTTTACTGACACTTAATGTTTGAATAAAAAATCTTTCAATTTAAAATTGATGTTTTGAGCAACAAAGCATTCATAACCCCTATTAGCCTTTATGATAGTTGTTTTGACTTTTCAGTTTTTATAAATCACAGCATCCTTTAATTTAAAAGTGATTTTTTCCCCTGAAAGATGCACATCTTTCATTTATTACAAGTTTATTTCATCCATATAATCATTTCATAAAGATATTTCAGCTGGAAAACTACACAAGTCCACAAAAACTCTAAACACTACTATTTGCAATGATATGAGAAAAAAACATTAATTACAATGCTACTCTACAACTACTACAACTTACAAGTACAAAATAGGCCCTGTGCAACTTTACTAAATAGCTCCTATTCACTGTACTGCTTTCTCATTAAATTAGATGTTTAACCTATCAAGTTAACATTAAAATAGATTCAAACTAATTTATTTTAAAATTAAAACCTAAACGTGAAGAAGTTTGAAATAAAGAGTTTTAGTTTCAGAGTATTTAGAATTAGAGTCCGTCTTTACGAATACGATGTCAAGAGGTATGCGAGTGCACAAACAATTATAGCCTCAGAGTGACAAATACAGAAGAACATTTATTTTTCACTTATTACTATTAGGAGTTAATCATAATATTGTATGTTCAAATACGTCTGCTTTAAAGCTTACTAATTTTTAATTAACATACCTATTTCCCTGAGCCTTCTTTGACTTTTGTCGTCTGCGTGCGAGATCGTTTGGATGTGGCATTGTTGAAGCATATCCATGTTCTGCCTCTGCAAAAGAAAGGAGAAAATATTTCTATATACTATAGTAAAAGTACTAAAATTAACACTTCATCGGTTGAAAAATTTTAAATCTTTGATTATTAAATTCACATAATTATCTGTAAACTACAACTCATATAGACATCGCACATTCACATCAGCTGATCGTCTCACTCTCACGATGTACTTGGCTGAGTTAGGCCTAACCTTACAATTTAGGAACTCTTTTAAGACTTAAGAACTCAGTTTCAGTGTTTGTTTACGCATCCGAGGATGATAGTTCCACAATCAAAAACGCATATTAATTTATTATAGTATGTCAGCTGTAACTATGCATGTATACTTACCCCTTTCGCGTCTTTCTAAATATTCAGCAGCTTGCAGTAAATCAGCAATGCTCATTATTACTTTAAAATGATGTGTAAAAGTCTCCTAAAAAACACACAAGAATATGGCGATCACACAACACCAATATCTACTATCCAGGGCTTCTCGTCCTTCGTCTGTGACGTTTGTTTTGTTCCGTATCATTCACGTTACTCACTGCTCGAGCCGACAAGGATACGAAACACCCTCGGACACCCAAATTTTGTACAGTGAATGACGTCATCGTCCTTCTGATTGGCTTATAAACAAAATGTCAGTAATTCGGACTACAGCCGGAAATAGCCGAAACGAGCATCCAATCATAACATGTTTATTGAATCTCGGTGTAAAGGATACCCACGTGCTCTACCTTGACTGTTACATGGACAGCTGTACAGCTACCATTGATTTGGCATGTAACATGGCATGCGTTGCTAGGTGGGAAGGCGTATTTAAAGGTGAAACAAGGTCATGTATGTATTTTAATTCATTGTAAGTGAAACATTTTGGGTAGTTCATTCAAAGTTAAATAGAAATAAAAATTTCAGTTAGCTATCAAATTACAATTTTAGAATTGAAAACAAAATTAAAACATCAAATTAATTGTAGTTCTTTATTTATCAAGTATTAAAACCAATAATTTCAGTGTTCTTACTGTTATTGTTAAGTTATTATGAATAACTTCATAAAATTTAGGATATAGTACGGTGTTAAACGCCGAAAGCTGTTGAAGCAATAGAAACAATATGCCTGATATTCATAATAAAAAAATCGTTCTTTGTTGAACGTTTTTGTTTTTAACATTCCTCACAATTCACTACCTACAAATTTCATGTTAGAGGTTTGCAAAAACAACATTGCATTTTTTCTTTTTTTTTTTATCTGCCGACACTGCCAACAAAGCATTTCGTTCGATATCAAAATCAACAACATTGAAAGGCTGGAATATGAATTCCAGTCGTACTTACGTTTTACAAATTGTATATTGCAAATGCGTCGGGAATGATGTCATATACAATAAATTTTAACACAAAATTATTTTAGAATGATATTTTGTAATTTTGTGACATTTATTTGCAAAGACTGAAAAGTGTTCCAACTTATTTTCTGCGCAATAGAGGAAATTCGGCTGTAGATAAAGCACTTATCAACTTTGTATATATATATATATATATTCTGCCCATCACAAAGCATAGGCTTGTATTAACTGATAAACTATCACCTCTTGATAATACAATCATCTGTTTCTTAAGTGATTTTCCTTTTATGTTAATGATTTTATTACTAAAATCGTGAATCTCACCCTTATATGATGTCATATTACTAATGAAGCACAACTATGAAGATAGTGGCAGGCAAGATTTAAACACGATTGGACTGAACAGAACAGATTATAAAATAATTACATCATTTATGGTTTTGTATGAAGTGATTAGAAGTGGCTCCTGCAGAGATGAGCAAAGACGTCTAATGTAAAGTTTAGAACTAGAAGACTTAAGAACAAATCTTAGAGCTGAGGTTTCTTTTTTCAATATTTTCTTTATACGTTCCTTTCGTTTCTGGAAATGTTTTCTATCTGTTTGAAAACTAAATGAATGTTCTTTTATGACAAAAAATCAGGTAAATTTAGGTTTAGACTTTATTGATAATAACTAAGTAATTAACTGATGTAAAATAGAAAATTACTTATACTAAACGCACAAGTTTTCCATCACCGCCTGTATCTTTCTTTCCGTCTTTTTTTTTTTTTTTGGCGTGAAATATGCAAATATTTTGCATAAGTTATGATGGCGGCCAAATCTCTAACCAAAAAAATACTCGTACACAAAATTTAATGTTATTTTTAGCTCTTATCATTGTCCAACCAAATTGACGAAAGGCCTTCTGAATAGCGACTTGCGTCAGGCAAAAGTATCTGAAATTATATCGTTTTTCATCTGTGGCTTAAAATACGTGATGGATTATTAAGAGAAATGCTTAAAGAAATATATAGTTTATAAAAACAGGTATGAATGTCATTAGGAAAATTACTTTTTACCCCCTCACGTTATTCACCTGATCATAAAGTTATATGTATAAAGGTTTAATTCTCAAGTAAAAAAAAAATATGTTGGAGACGAAAATCTGTCGCAGTATGCAGAATTTTTAACATACATTGCTTGTATGAGAAACAAAACATAAGCATATAGTAAAATATGTAATAAATATTTGGAAGTAAACGTACTGTGACAATTGATTCTTTATATAATGGCTGGAGACGGCTTGAATGGGTAATGAAGAAAAACTTTAATATAACAGCAAATGTACAACGTTTCGACAAGGTTTTGTCATCATCAGGTACCCTTTTGATTCTTTATATGCTATTTTCGTATGTATTGTTTCTGGACTGAGGTGGTGGTGACAGATCGATCAATTGAAAGGTATTATCATATTGATAAAACTAACTTCGTTAACTGTTTTTTTGTTTTTTCACTTACTGTCTTCCAACGAAATGTACTACTAGAAATTATGTTATAATTGTGATAAGAGTCCAAACTTCAATGTACAAAAGTCTAAAAATATCGTTCACGCACAGAAAATGTTTGAATACTTTATGAAAGCATTTAAGAGTCGCTTATAGAGCTTAATCATCAGATAAAAATTCAAAGCCATATGATGGGCTATCTGCACTCTGTCCAGCGCGAGGAATCGAACCCCGGATTTTAGTTTTGTAACTCTGTTAACTTACTGCTTACCCATCGGAGAATAATAATAAAACACATCTAAAATTACGAATTTAATTTCATCATCAAGTATTTCTAAACATCACTTGTTCATTACACCTTGAAAATAAGCAATTACACGCTTAGTAATGACTTTACTTAAAAATAAGAATCCAAGGTTCGCTTTCTCGCGATGGACAGGGATCACATAGCCCATTGTATGGCTCTGGCCCCTTTGTCAATGAAGTCATGGAGATAAATATATATATTTAATTGACACAATAAAAATATAATTTAATTTAGATCCATATTTAAGTGTATTAAGATAGGCAGAAAAGCTAATTGCTATTCAAATTATGCAAAAAATTTAAATATATTTTGTGGTATACTGTTAGATATACAAGACTGTTTCAGTTTAAGTATAGAGCGAGTGTTAAATTTAGTTATTTTTAGAAGGGATAGTTTGTTTATTGCAGGTTTGTTTACGCAACTTTTTACAAATCATACATTGTGTATTCAATAGTTATGAGCCTCCAGTGGCACAACGGTATGTCTGCGGACTTACAACGCTAGAATCCGGGTTTCGATGCCCGTGGTGGGC